GCAGGGCCTGTGGGGAGTTCCAGTGGCAGGGCAGGGCTGGATGGGGACCGACACATGGCGGATGAGGGCTGCCATATGACCCTGTGCAGTGAGTGATGCCCCCCCCCACACAGCCCCCACGGTGCTGGCGGACGTGCAGCCGTCGGAGCCTGCCATGCAGGAGGAGATCTTCGGGCCCGTCCTGCCCATCGTCACCGTGCCCAACGTGGACGAAGCCATCGCCTTCATCAACAGCCAGGAGCGGCCGCTGGCCGTGTACGTCTTCGCCTCCGACAGCAAGGTGCGGGGCAGGGATCTAGGGCGAGTTCTGGCTGAGGACTCACGCCCGGGCCCAGGGCAGGCTCCGTGCTGGAACCGGCCTTACACCCATTCACTGCTGGGCCAGGAGGGGGCAGCGTTTGCAGGTGACCCCCCACCCTGGGGCTAGTCGCCACAGGAGAACGGCTCTGCTTTGCACCCCAGGGCAGCAGCCCCCGTGTGGACACTCTTGGGTGGGTTCGGGAGCAGATGCGCTGGGCTTCATTCCAGTAGATTGGGAAGAGGCCGAAGCTGCACCCCTGTGAAGCGGAGTGAGAGCGTCCAGACGCGGGCGGCACTGTGAGACTGTACGACCAGCATGAAACCAGCCTAGATCTCTGTCAGCCGTGAGGACAGAACTGGGGCCCTTCAGGGGTCAGCACAGGGCCCCAGCCGCAGAGTCACCCTGTGTGCATCATGCACACAGTGCATGGCACTGTCTGGTGGGTAGCAGAGGCTGCCCTGGTGCCTGCAGCCCCCTTGATTCTGTGTTGGTCTGACTGGGGCAGCAGAGGACGGGCTGGAGAACATGGCTGGGCTGGATAGGAATTGGAGAGACTGCCCCAGTGTCCCACACCCCACCTGGGCCTGGTCGCCCCTCCCGGAGGGAAGCAGCTGTGTGGGAGGGGCTCCGGGTCAGCTGATGGGGTGGCACTGGGGGAGGAGCTGCGGTTGGGTATCAGGTGGGAATGGGGCTCCCTCACTCCCCATCTCTGCTTCCCCCCAGCTGGTGCGTCAGGTGCTGGAGCGGACGAGCAGCGGCGGTTTTGGTGCCAACGACCCCATGATGCAAACGACGCTAATCTCGCTGCCCTTCGGTGGGATTGGTACGTCTGGGCCCCCAGCCAACCCGTTCCCTGCCCCCCAGGTGGGGACCGAGCCCCTGGGAGCCATTAGATACACAGCCCGGGGAAGGGGCCTGTCTGCCATGGAGCTCCTGGAACGTCGGGCCCTGGCTCTAACCAGCTCCAACCATTGCAGCCCGGAGCCGTGCAGCGGCGCAGTCCTAGAAGAGCGTGTGGCCGCCCACCGCTGACCCAGATGCCTGCAGAGACATGGGCTGGGAGCAGGGCCCAGCATCTCTGCCCAGGGCATAGTGCACACACTGGGCCTCAGCTGGGGACACTGGGACCGCACGGAGCGGCCCAGGGACCTGCTGCTCGGCTGCGTCTCCTCCGGTGTCACTAGGGCCTGCAGCTATGCCATGGCTGAGTTTCGCTCTGTGGGCAGAGCCCTGGGGGCTGGGATCCATCATGGGAGGGTGCGTGGCTGGGCCCCATGCCCGAGGTTGAGCCGTGCTGTGTGGGCAGGGCCCAGTGGGCTGGGATCGTACCGTGGGGGTGGGTGCGGCTGGGCCCCATGACTGAACTGTGCTGTGTGGGCAGGGCCCAGTGGGCTGGGATCGTACAGGGGGAGGGGGCGCGGCTGGGCCCTGCCCTGTGCCCGTATCCGAGCTGTGCTCTGTTTCTAGGGAACAGCGGCCTGGGCTCGTACCACGGCAAGTTCAACTTCGACACCTTCTCTCACCACCGCGCCTGCCTCCTGCGCAGCATGGGCCTGGAGCCCATGAACTCCCTGCGCTACCCACCCTACAGCGAGCGCAAAATGGGGCTGGTGACTTCTGCCTTCGAGATCAAGCGCAAGGGCACCTGCACCCTGCTGTGACGGGAGGGCCGGCCCAGCCCAGCCCAACCACCCAGCACCACACAACCTACTTGCTGCCTGACGGCCTTGGGGGAAGAAGGCCTGGCTGACCTTAGGAGGCCCCCTCCAAAGGGGGTTAAATACCCTTCCTCCGACTCTTTCATCTTCCTGGGGAGAGGGGCACCGCTTCCTCCATCCCATCCCTGGGAGCTCCTGCCCGTCCTAGCCCAGCCTCTTGCTTCCCCATCTCCAGCTGCTTGGGTGGTGGGGAGAGAGCATCCCCCAGGGAGACAGATGCTGGGAGGGGGGAAATGCCAAGGGGGCTGCCCAGGAATGACCCCCCCCAACCAGGAGACATGTGGGCCCTGTAATCCCAGTGGTGCCCTCCCACACTGGTGCCCCCACAGGCTGCTGCTGTGTTGCCCAGGAAGGGCAGTGCCATCCTCCCATGGCGTGCTGGGGGAAGGCAGGTGTCCTGGAGCCGAAGGACCCTGCTCCGAGGGGGACGAGGGCCGAAGGGGCAGTAAGGGCAGCCTGCGACCCAGCCTGCTCTCAGGGAATCACTCCTGCCTCAGCTGTGCTGGCTTAGTCTCATTCTCCCATCATGCTCTCTGCTCTCCGCCCATCGCTGCCTGTGCCCCCTGCTCTGTGCTTTGCCCTGCGTAGATTTTGGTTTAGTAAAGACTTGGTGTTGAACTCGCCTGCCTGGCCTGGTCCTGCAGGGCCTTCGCCCTCCCTGGCTCTGGCCCAGCGGGCAGCATGGGTGGGGCTGGGGTGAGGCTCCCAGAGAGGGGACTAGGCACAGCAGACAGATCGGCCAGGGTGTGCCCCCCACCCCCATCTTCTCCCTGCTGTCAAGGAGCAGCTTGTGGGAGAATGAAAGATGGGGAGCACTAGCCGGGAGGAGCCTGCAGGTTGGGATTGAGGGGCACTAGCGAGGGGGGCAGGGCTGGGACAGCAGGAGTCTGTGGGTCAGCATTAATGGGCACTGGCACAGCTGGGGGTAGGAGGAGCCCAGGGCTGGGACAGAAGGGGGCTGAGGGTCAGGATTGAGGGCTATGGGAAGAGCTGTGGGGGGAGCCCAAGGCTGGGATAAGAGGGGGCTGTGGGTGGCCCCAGTGGGCTAAAGTCAAAGTGTGAGTTAATTTTTGAGTCCTTCACTGCAAGTGGCCCAAGCCAGCTCCAAGGGCCCCATCCCTCTGTTCTTCCCCATGGCCACAGCTCAGTGCCTCTGGGGCCGGGCACTTGGGGGGAAGCCCCTGAGAGCTGGCTGTGGGCTCTCTGGGCAGTGGGGGTGTGGAGGGAATTCCTTAGCAGGGCCAGTGGCAAACCAGGGTTCCTCATGGCAGAGCTGGGAGTACCCCCAGGTGCCCAGAGGCACAGACTGCATGGCTGAGCCCTGCAGTGCAGACTGACCGTGCCACATCGCTGTCTGCGTATGCACAGACTTAGCCCCTCGGCCACACCCACCTCCTCGGGGCCAAAACAAAACCCACGTCCCTGAGCCCTGGCAAATAGCGAATCCCACAGGGCAAGGGTGGGTCCCCTCTGCTGTGGCTGCCCCCTGCAGCCTTTGTGCTCATAGCTGGGGCTCAGGGGCCCAGGTTCAAAGACAGCTTAGGAACCCCCCTCCCTTTTTATTGCACATGAAGGAGTTTGTGATGTTTCAGTTTCCTTTTCATCTCACTTGTGGAATTGGCCCAGCCAGAAGAACAGGGACTGACCCGCCAGGGACTGCTCCTACAGCCGCTGGGCCAGGACATGCCACTTTAGATGGGCATGTGCTCCCATGCGCAGTGGTAATGTCCAGTGGGGCCATGACTGTACTCCATGGATGAGGACACAAAGTGCCTCACCCATCCCCCCTGCCCAGCTAAAAACAGCCCCCATCACCTCACCCATCCCCTTCCACCCAGCCAGACAACCTCCATTGCCTCACCCACCCTGCCTTGCCTAGCCACAACCACACCCCAGTCCTTGTCCCCCACTTAAAAACCATTTGGAATGAGATTTAGGAATTGTTTAAAAACGTTTCACTAGATACCCAAAGAAGTCATAATCAAGAAGAAAGACCACACTGGCTAAAAAAACAACCTAACTTAGAGGGAAGTGAAGTCAGTAATAGAAAATATATATATAAGAAATGGAAGACAAGGCAGGTTGATAGTATTGGATAGAAATCAGAAGCTAGGAATAGTAGAAAATTGATTCATAGATTCTAGGAGTGGAAAGGACCTCGAGAGGTCATCGAGTCCAGTAACCTGCGGAGGAGGCGGAGTGGAGGTGATCTGGGGCAGGGAGCGGTTCCCCTGTGCACCCCTCTCCCTCCCCCCGTTACCATGGGCGGCCCTCTCCGCGCCCCCCCCACCCAGCTCATCTCCACTCCACTTCCTTGTCTGAGCAGGCTTTTCAGGCGCCCCCAACCACTAGGCGCCCTAGGCGGTCGCCTAGTTCACCTAGTGATTGCGCCGGCCCAGCGTTTTAAAAATATACTAGAAACAAAAAGAATCAGAACAGGGTATTGGTCCATTACTCAATGGAAATAGAATGGTCAATAATAATGCCAAGAAATAACAAAAGTGTTCAATAAATATTTCAGTTCCGTATTTGGGAAAAAGTTGTATGATGGAGTTGTAAAAGATGATGATGACTCTTTCCATTCCACTAGTATCTCAGCAGGATTTAAAACAGCAGCTACCAGAATGAGACATTTTTAAATCAGCAGGCCTGGATAACTCCCACCCAAGAGTTTTAAAAGAGCTGGCTGAGGGACTGCTGGACCATTAATGATGTTCAATACATCTCAGAAAATTGGGGATGCCCCAGAAGACTGGAAGAAAGTGAATGCTGTGCCAATAATTAAACTGGATAACCTGGGTAATTACAGGCCTGTCAGTCTGACATCAATCCTGCACAAGATAATGAAGCAGCTGATACAGGAACAAATTAATAAAGAATAAAAAGAGGGCAATGTAATAACTGCCCGTCAACATGGGGTTATGCAAAATAGATCCTGTCAAACCAACCTAATATCTTTTTTATGAGATTACAAGTTTAGCTGATAAAGGTAATAGTATTGATGTAATAGACTTCTGTAAGGCATTTCACTTGGTATCACATTTTGATTAAAAGCTAGCATAATACAAAATTAACATGTCACACACTAAATGGATTAAAAACTGGCTAAGTGCCATATCCCAAAATGTAATTATACATGGGAAAACGTCATTGAACGAGTGTGTTTCTAGTGGGGGGTCACCCAGGGTTCAGTTTTTGGCCCTATGCTATTTAACATTTTTACCAGCAACCTGGAAGAAAACAAAATCATTGCTGATAAAAGTTTGCAGATGATGCAAAGATTAGGGAAGTGGTAAATAATGAAGATTACAGGTCACTAGCAAACCAGATTCATTTGAATATGGCTAAACATAAATGTCTACATCTAGGAACAAGGAATATCGGCCACACCTACAGGATGGGGGACTCTATCCTGGGAAGCAGTGACTCTGTGAAAGACTTGGGGGGTGTGATGGATAAGCAACTGAACATGAGCTCCCAGTGCAAGGCCGCAGCCAAAAGGGCTAATGGGATCCGGGGATGCATAAACGGGAATCTGGAGTAGGAGAAAGAGATGATTTTACCTGTATATTCGGCACTGGTGTGACTGCTGCTGGAATCCTGTGTCCAGTTCTGCTGCTGTCATGGGGTTTGCCAGTCACCGCTAGGGGCACCCCCTGCTGGCTGCTCTGGGGCGTAGCTCTTTCAGCCTGATACCTTCTTGCTGTTCCTTGGCCTGTCTTGCTCCGGGGCCCCTCTCTTGCTCCTCAGGAGCCCTCCAGCCAAGTACACAATGGTCCTCCCCTTCCGAGGTTCTACAAAGTCCTCCACAGCGTCCCAGGCACACCCCTGGCTGAGCCACACCCCCTCAGGGACTGGGATGAACCTTCCCAGACGGTCTTCACGATCACTGCCTGGATCATGCCCCTCCTTCAGGGGCTGTAGGGGAACCCAGGCCCACCCTCTACTCTGGGTTCCGGTCCAGGGGTCCTATCTCCAGCAACTACCCCAAACCTTCCTGCCTCACTCCTAGACTACTCCCTACCTTGCCTATCCCAGGCTCGCATTGTCCACCCTAGCTAAACCCCTATGTCCTCCTGGTCTACTAGATAGACTCTTCCTCTTGGGAACAATGCCCCTTTCTTTCCCTTATCCCAGGGACAGCGACTGCAGCTCTCCTCCCTGCAGCCTCTTTCTGCCACCAGCCACCTGGTTTTATAGACGCCGCTCCTGTTCCACCACAGGTGAGCTTCCCTTAATTAGAACTCTCCTCTCAGCCTAAATGGTACAGTAAGGGGGGGTCAGCTACCAAGGCTTATACTCCCCACTCTTCTCGCAGTGGTAATTGCTACCCCAAACACCCCTTTCGTGGAAAGATGAAGTCAAGGGCAGGCAGCCATTCGTTCAAAGGGTGGACCCCTCGACCCTGATAACAGTAGATTTAAATTCCAAGGAAGGATTACATCTGCCACCTGTGGAGAGAGTCTATCCAGACCCTTCAAGTACCTAACATACATGCAATTGGAAAATCCTGAGCGACCTGCACTTTGAGGCTGGAAAGCAGAGATAGTTCTGTCAGAGCTCACTAGCAGCTAACAGCCAGGCCTTGTCGTTCCAGGCGGAACAAACAGTCCAGAACATGTTTTTATTCTGAGACCACGAGGAGAACCGCTTCCCCATTAACAGGTAAATGTATCTAGGCAGAGAGCTGTCTGCTATTTAGGAGAACGTTCTGCATGTTCTCTGAACAGTCGGCCTCCTGCGGCGTCAACCATGAAGTGTCCATAGCACGTGATGAAAAGCCGCCAGGTTGGGATGCAGCTGGCAACCCTGCTCTTGTGAGATCAGGTCTAGTTCTGGAGGTAGCATCAAGGGAGGTCTGGCAGACAGGGTCAGCAGAGTAGAGAACCAATGCTGACGAGGCCAAGCCAGTGCTATAAGGATCACGCAAGCACAATCCTTCTTGATTTTTGAGCGGCACTTTGGAAAGGAGCAGCACCAGAGGGTAAACATACCTCAGTTTGTCCTTCCAGGGTAAGAGGAAGGTGTCTGTGAGAGATCCCTGACTGTTACCTGCTCTTGAACAGAAATGAGTCTTACCCAATCCAGCCTGAGAGACCCTTTTAAAGCAGCCTGTATTATATATTACGGGTCCAGACTTTATTCTGTTTGCACGTCACAGATGTGATCAAGTCATGCTCACTTATACCTAAGCGCCATTCATTTTCAGTTCTGTTATCAGTTCCTCTTTACCACTCAGAACTAGAGCTAATAAAGAATTTCCCCCGCGTTGGCAGAAACACTTTTTGAGGGAGGAACTTGTCATCTATAACGTTTCGAAATTCCAAGGGTGTTTCAGTGCTGACAGCATGACTCCTCCAGCATATGGCACTCAAATTAAAGTCCCCCATGATCACGCAGTGTCTCCCCTACACATTAAGATGTATAAGGCTCCGGTCATCCTATTCCCTAGTGCATGGGCAGTGCGGAATAGAGGCTAAGCCTCCTCAAACCTTGTGTAGCCGGGGCCACAGGGGGAGGGGCGGAGTTCTCCGGCTCTCCCCCCCCCCATCCTAGCTAGGCCTACAGCGGGGCTGAGACCAGCAAGCGGGGCTGTGGCCTCAGCCAAAAGAGGCGGGGCAGGGGTAGCCCTAGTGTGATTTGGTAGCTGTAACAGACACCAACTAATACCCTGTGCTTTATCTGTTAGGACAGCAGGCTTCAAACATTAGCAACCTGAGAACCCCCATTTCGATTTCAATTTTTTTACAGACCCCCAAGTCCCCCGCTCAACCCTAGGCTCCACCCCTTCCCCCAAGGCCCCACCCCAACTCTTCCCGCCCCTGCCCATCGTCTTCCCCACCTCCTTCCGCCCCCTTCCCCGAGTGCACCCCATCCCCTCTCCTCCCTCCCAGCATCTCCTGCACCCCACTGAACAGCTGTTCCCCGGCGTGCAGGAGGCACTGGTAGGAAGGGAGGGGAGTTGAGGGAGGAACCGGGTGGAGTTGATCAGCGGGGCCGGTGGACCCCAGTTTGAGAAACGCTATGTTAGGACATTGAGCCTTAAATATTCCAGATCATTTTCTTCCATCGTCAGTGGGGGAAAGAGGAAGGCTGGAGAGTGTCTTTAATCTGTGGGAGGGAGGTCAGATTTCCTAGGTCAGCTGGGGGGCTCAAGCCAGCTGCTCCTCCCCCGCATGGCAATCAGGCAACACGTGGGTTGTGTGGTGCTGGGTGGCTGGGCTGGGCCTCCCGTCATAGCAGGGTGCAGGTGCCCGTGCGCTTGATCCTGAAGATGGAGAGCACCAGCCCCATTTTGTGCTCGCTGTAGGGTGGGTAGCGCAGGGAGTTCATGGGCTCCAGGCCCATGCTGCGCAGGAGACAGGCGCGATGGTGAGAGAAGGTGTCGAAGCTGAATTTGCCGTGGTACGAGCCCAGGCCGCTGTTCCCTAGAAACAGAGCACAGCTCGGATACGGGCACAGGGCAGGGCCCAGCCGCGCCCCCTCCCCCTGTACGATCCCAGCCCACTGGGCCCTGCCCACACAGCGCGGTTCAGTCAAGGGGCCCAGCTGCCCCTCCCCCTGCCCATGGTACAATCCCAGCCCACTGGGCCCTGCCCACACAGCGCGGTTCAGTCAAGGGGCCCAGCTGCCCCTCCCCTCTCCCCCTGTACGATCCCAGCCCACTGGGCCCTGCCCACACAGCGTGGCTCAGTCACGGGGCCCAGCCATGCGCCCCCTCAGGGGCTCAGCCCCAGGCTGGGGGTCAGAGAACAGGGGTTGGCTGGGAGCCCAGACGTACCAATCCCACCGAAGGGCAGCGAGATTAGCGTCATCTGCATTATGGGGTCGTTGGCACCAAAACCGCCACTGCTCGTCCGCTCCAGCACCCGGCGCACCAGCTAGGGGGAAGCAGAGATGGGGGGGTGAGGGAGCCCCAATTTGTGCCTGATGCCCACCCGCAGCTACCCCAGTGCTGCCACATCAGATGGCCCAGAGCCCCTCCCACACAGCTGCTTCCTTCCGGGAGGGGTGAGCAGGCCCGGGCGGAGTGTGGGGAGCCAAGCAGAGCCATCCTCCTGTGGAGACTGGCCCCAGGGTGGTGGGGTCGCACTGCCCCAGCAGTGAATGGGTGAAAGGCCGGTTCCAGCAAGGAGCCCTGGCCTTGGGCGTGAGTCCTCAGCCAGAATTCGTCCTAGATCCCTGCCCCGCACCTTGCTGTCGGAGGCGAAGACGTACACGGCCAGCGGCCGCTCCCGGCTGTTGATGAAGGCGATGGCTTCGTCCACGTTGGGCACGGTGACGATGGGCAGGACGGGCCCGAAGATCTCCTCCTGCATGGCAGGCTCCGACGGCTGCACGTCCGCCAGCACCGTGGGGGCTGTGGGGAAGGGGGCATCACTCACTGCACAGGGGCACATGGCAGCCCTCATCCGCCATGTGTCGGTCCCCATCCAGCCCTGCCCTGCCACCAGAGCTCCCCGCGCTCATTTCTCCACCATCGGGGCTCCCCCTGCCCTGCCTAAGGGCCCCGCACCTTGACATGAATGGGTCCCCTGAGCCCCCGTGCCCTGGCATGGATGGGTCCCCTGGATCTCTGTGCCCTGGTGGCGGGGCCCTCACCAATGTAGCGCTCTCTCTCGTCCGTCTGCCCCCCGATGGCCACGCGCCCGCTGCCCAGCAGGGCCCGGATGCGCTGGAACTGCTTGTCACTGATGATGCGGGCGAAGTCAGGCGACTCCCGGGGCTCGGGGCCGAAGAACTGGGTGATGGCGTGGTGCAGGGCGGGCAGCAGCTTCTCCTGCGTCTCTGCGCTGCACAGCACGTAGTCGGGCGCGATGCAGGTCTGCCCCGCGTTGAAGCAGCGCCCCCAGACCAGCCGGTTGGCCACGTTCTGCAGATTGCTCTCGTCGGCCACGTAGCAGGGGTTCTTGCCCCCCAGCTCCAGCGTCAGGGGCGTCAGATGCTTGGCCGCAGCTGCCATCACGATCTTGCCCACTTGGGGGCTGCCTGCGGAGGGTCAGGAAGAAGCGTCAGGGCAGAGACCCGCCACTCTTCCACCCAGCCTGGGGCGCCAGGAGCCTTGGGATGCAGGCAGCCCCGGTCTCGCCCAGGAGGGGGAAGGACCCTGCATCTGGCTGGGGGCTCCAGTCACTCCCAGCCCCCATCTTCAGGGGCCTCAGGGCTCAGAGAGCCCTGAGTGTGCACTGTGGCAATGGTCTCTGGGGGCAGCCCCCTGGGAGAGGGAAGGCAGGGGGGGCTGGAGGTGCCCTCTGGTGTGGAAGGGGAGAGGGGACCATGGGGGAGGGGGGTGCTGGGTCACTTGGGACATACCAGTGAAGAAGATGTAGTCAAACTTGTTTTCCAGCAGCTTTGTCATCTCCGCGGGGCCCCCGGTCACCACAGCAAAACAGTCCTGCAATCGGAGAGGGGAGGGTGTGTGGGGTGATCCTCATCCTGCCCCCTTTACTCTGCCCCATCCCTGCCCATTGCTGTACTGTTCCCCTCTCTGCTCCCTGTGGCCCGGTCCCCGTCACGCTCGCGGGGCATTGGGGGGAAGGAGGCACTGGGGAGCAGCTCAGTGGGTGCAGGGATGCAGAGGTCGAGATACTGGGGAGGCACAGAGGCTAGCTGGGTGTGGGGGGCTGGGGCATGGGGGCCAGCTCGGCATGGGGTAGGGGGCTGGGCATGGTGCTAGGCCTGCAGAAGTGGCTCAGCGCCTTGGGAACAGGAGATGGGCGTGGTGCCAGGGGAGGGGGCAGCTCCTTACCTTGTCCAGGTAGCTGGGCAGCGTCTCAGCCAGGAGCTTCTCGGTGCTGCTGCTGATCTCGGAGGGTTTGATGATGACACAGTTCCCTGGGGGGGCAGGCGGGATGTCACTGCGCAGCACAGACACCTCCCCACCCCGGGGCCTCGCCGCAGCACCTCGACCCACCACCAGGGGGCACTGCAGGGAGGTGTCCCTGGCGAACGCACCAGGAGCCTCATTTGGGGCTGCGGGAGGTTGTAGGTCGGGAGCCCTGCCCCAGAGCATGTGGGTGTGATACTGCACCCCATATTCTCACAGTGATATTATTATGATATGATTATGGCATAATGATGATGCATTTTATGCAAGATGGGTCATGTCAGGTGTCACTGGGAAGGTTAGGATTTGCTGAATATGATTATCCTATTTCTATGCATATATCTGAAGTTATAAATCCTGACTATGTATCTATACTTCAAATGTAATTACACCTGGGTAACGCCCACTAGACAAGATGCTTTTAGTCTAGATAGTGGGTGGGGAAGGCCTGTTCAGGGCAATGGGCCATTAGGAAAAACAATAGGCCATAGGAGAAGCTTATCCCCCACCTGGGGAGCCTCCCTGAGAACGCTACAGACAGCCTGTGAGTAATGGCTGCTAGGACGCTACAAGGACATGTGACTGTGCTACTCCATCTTGGGAGGTCAGTATTTTTCCACAAACTGGTTTGAGAACCAAGTTGCGGGAACAAAGGGTTCCCACCATACACTAAAGCTATATAAGGCAGGAGAGTAACATCATCTGGGGTTCTTCACTCCCCACACGAAGACTCCTGGAAACACCCGAGGAACGAAGACTGAACCGGGGGAAGTGCTGGACCCAGGCTAAAGGGATTTCTAGCCTGGGTCTGAAAGACCTGGGGATTCCAAGCTGTGAAGCAAATCCAGGTTGTGCCTTAAGACTCTGCAGAATGATTGTATCATTTCTCAGGGTGAGAATCTGCTAATTCATATCCAATCTATTTAGTATACTAAGCTTAGTTTGCGTTCTGTACTAGGTAATCTGCTTAGATCTGTTTGCTAGCCCTTATAATCACTTTAAATCTATCTTTTGTAGTTAATAAGCTTGTTTTTGTTTTAATCTAAACCCATGAACTTTGACTGGAGTGCTTGGGAAAAATCTCTGCTTGGTTACTACAACTGTGCATTGCTCTCTTCACATTAAGGGAGAGGCGAACAGGTATTAAACCCATATACTGGCGAGATTTGACCAGGGCAGGACGGTACTGCTCTGTGGTCCCAGGCTGGGAAGCTGGTGGTTAGAGGAGGAGGGATCGCTCAGTGGTTTAAGCATTGGCCTGCTAAACCCAGGGTTGTGACTTCAATCCTTGAGGGGCCATTTGGGGATTGGCCCTGCTTTGAGCAGGGGGTTGGACTAGATGACCTCCTGTGGTCCCTTCCAACCCTGATAGTCTATGATTCTAAAGAACCTGCATGTCATTGCGGCTGGGTGTGTCCCTACCTGTGTGCTGGTGAAAGTGAAGGCTGGTGAAAGTGAAGGCTGGAAGGCTTTGTGGTTTGTCACAGCAGCGCAGTGTGAGAGGGAGCCCAGGCTGGTGGGTCACGGGCGGCTCAGTGATACCCCAGTTCCAGGTGGCACCCCGGGGAGAACCCATCACAGTAGGGACCATGCTGGGGGTGGGAGCTCTGCCTGGAGCAGGTTCCGGGCTGTGGGGGGGGAAGTGTCCCTACTCCCTGACTCACCGGCCGCGATGGCCCCGACCAGGGGCACCAGGATGAGCTGCAAGGGGTAGTTCCAGGGCCCGATGATCAGCACCACTCCATAGGGCTCCTTCCGGATGAAGGCTCTGTCCAGCTGAGTCACCTGAAGGGGAAGCCTTGGTGTCAGGAGCTGGGGGGAGCGGGTCCCAGGTCCTAGGGGGCGAGGAAGTGAACTGGACCATG